CGTTCCGAAACGGTGAGAAATCATGTTCCCGGAAAGCGTTCAAGAATATGAATCGTACGTCGTCCAAGGCGCCTCGGAAGGCGCAGAATACTCCTCCAAGGCGCGGAATCATTCTCCCGGACCGCCTTCCGGGAACATGATGGGGACGACCTCCTGAGGGCCTCCAGTGGGCCTCTTGGGGGCCTCTCGGAGGCCTGTTGGGCTCTCCTGGAGGCGTCTTGGGGCGCGCTCAGGGCCATTTTTCGGCATCTTGGGGGCCTCTGGGGGCCTTCGGGGAGGCTCTTGGGGGCCTTTTTGGGGCCTCTTGGGGCCTCGCGGGGCCTCTTGGGTACCGCTGGGCTCGCTTAGGCAGTCTTGAAGCCCTGTCGGGGCACTCCTGGAACCGTCTTGGGCGGCTCCTGGGCCATCTTGGGGCTCTCCTGGGCCGTCTTGGGACGATTTTGGGGGTCTCTTGGGCCGTCTTGGGGCGGTCTTGGGGGCCTCTTCGGCCGTCTTGGAGCGGTTTTGGGAGACTCTTGGACGGCCTTGGAGCGTCGGAACCCCGAAAAAGCGAGAAGGCCAAAAACTTTGAAAAAACAATAAACATCAACGATTTTGGCTTATCGGGGCTCTCTTGAGAGGCCTCTTGGGATGCCTTCGGGGCCTCATGGAGCTCTCTTGGAACGTCTTCGGGCCTTCCTGGCCTTTCCTGAAGCTATCCATGCGCGTCTTCGAGCGCTCGCGGGCCGTCTTGGACGGTCTCGAACTGTTCCTGGCGGTCCCAGGGGCCCTCCCGGACGCTTCGGACGCTCCCGGGGGCGCCCTGCACCCCCCATGGAGATTACAGACACCGCGCCCCGGGCCGCCCCCCGGGGCCCGACTCCGATTTATATATAATATATATATAATATATATATATATATATATTATATATATATATATATTCCCATTTTCTTATTATTTTTGCAATCCGGGGGGGTGGGACCCCCCCCCCCCCCGGAAAATCGGACCCCCGGGATCTGGCGCTTTTGGGGCCCCCTGGACGCCCTGCAATGGGTCCCCCGGGCCTTCCGGGCCTCCTGGACGCCCCTGCCGGGCCTTGCCAGTGGGCCCAAAGCGGTCAGGAGGGCGGCCAAACGGCCCCGCGAGAGCCCCACGCGGCCCCAGACAGCCCCAAGACGCCCGAAGACGACCCAAAGAAGACCCCCAAGAGGTCCTCCAAGTGCAAAAAAACAACACTTTGCTTTCCTTTCCTTTTTTTGTCTTAAAAAGAAGGAATTTTTGGACATTCGGTTCTTCGGTATTCCGTGCGTCCGAGTCCGCCGAAGAGGCCCCCAAAATCCTCCCACAACGGTGTCAAAGGGCTTCCAGACAGTCCAAAAGAGCTCCAATATGGTCCAACAGGGCCGCAAGATGGCCCCAAGAGAGCCCCGCTGACAGCCCCAGATGGCCCCAAGACGCCTCCCGAAGCACTCCAAATCGTGACCCGGTCGTTCAGGAAGACCGCGGTTGGTAGCAAGGTGGCCGCAAGAAGCCCCCAGAGGCCCCCAAAAGGCGCCCAGGAGCCCGACCTGCTGTGAAGTCGAACCGCACACCGCAGCACACGAAGTCCTGTGTCGCGTAGCAGACCTCGTGATAGGAGAGTCCCCGTCTCTGAAACTCGCACAGGATGCCCTCGAGCGCCGCGTTGACCAGACTGCGAGGCGAGCCCGCGACGTTTGAGTTGTCGACATACGAGGAGCCAGCCAGTTGGCCTGGGGCGAGCCGCGCGCTGGGGGCACGCTCGGAGACGATCCTGACGCTGTCGGGCGAGATGCGCAGGGCCTGACTGATGCCGATGCGAGTGACGTCCTCGGTGATGCCGTTGCAGATGTGGAGCGACCAGCTCCAGCCCATGGCGAGCCCCTGGAAGCACGGGTACACGATGGTGTCAGGCTCCACCTGCATGTAGGTCTGGCTCACCTCGTCGTAGACGGAGTCGGTGTCAAAGTTGCGAATGGCCATCGGGAAGTCGAAGCAGAACCAGCTGCCGATCTCGAGCCACTGCATCTGGTAGAAGCCCTGGCGAAGGTCCGCGCTGGCCCCGTGGCAGCCGTCGTCGCTGGCGCACAGCTGGCCCGAGTCGAGGCAGAGGCCACTGAGGGCCGCGGCGGAGCCCAGCTCGGTCCGCGGAGGGCGACGGTGCATGCTCGAGGGCTCGCGGCCGTCGATGACCATGCGCAGCGACGAACCGTCCTTCTTGCCGATGAAGAAGATGCTGGCGCGGGCGCGGCATCGCGTATGCACTCCGACGAGGCCGATGCGCATGAGCTTCTTAAACGGGTCGAGCCGCAGGGCAGGGTCCCGCCGCAGGTTGACGTCCCAGAAGGGGTAGACGGGCGGCAGCTCACCTGACTCGACCATGCCATCAAGCACCGACTGGGAGCGGAAGATGAACTTCTCGGGCTCGTTGATGAGCGGGAGCATAGAGTCGGGCACCAGCGAGCGGATGGGCAACGGGCGGATGCCGCTGTCGAGAATCTTCAGGAGGTGCGGCTCATAAGGTCGAACTGGCGTCGGCCTGCCGCTGTAGACGTCCTTGGACTTCAAAATGGAGAGGAGCGCCTCATCACCGTCCATGCCGAGCGGGTCGCCGAAAGCGTCCACTCGCTGATGAATGCGCTGCAAAACTGATGCTTGGGCGGCGTTCGCAGGATGGACCGAAGCGAGACGCCGCGCAGCCGCCAGCGGTGCGTCCAGGTCGTTCAACGCCATGATCGCCTGCTTGCACCGCCGCCGCATGCCGCGCGAGAGCCCAAGTGGCAGCGCTCCCGCTGGCGTCGATCTGCCCAGCAGCAGCAGAGGGAAGGGGTCGCCGTGAGCGCGACCAGTCAAAAAGCGAGGAGCCCCCTCGGCAGCAGGGCCTCGCGCGCGGCCCCCTGAGAAGCGGACTGCGGAGGGTGCATTGGCCGAGCGACGCCGGGGTGAGCGCCGCCTCTCCGCAGCCCGCGCGACAGGAGTCATGCCTCCGCGGCGGCCGAGCCGCCGACACGACCGCCGCGTCTACGTCCGCCTCCACCGTCTCCGTCACCACCGCCGGTACCGCCGCCCTCCCGCCCGCCTGAGCCTCGGCCGCGGCTGCGAGACTAGACCTGCTCCTCGACCCACTGCCGCTGCTGCTTCAACGTGAAGGCCTCGTCCTTCTGGATCTGCGCGATGTACTTCGAGTACTCGGGAAGGACCAGGCCGCCAAACTCGTCGACCGTCGAGGCGACCACCGCGTCGAGGTCCTGGAAGTCAGGGCTCTGGGGGTTGCGGGCGACCGCCATCTCGATCTGGACCAGGTAGCGCACCAGGACCTCGACCCCCGCGAGGCTGGGCAGGTTCAGCATGTCCTGCTGCTGGAAGGCGTGCAGGGCGTCGGTGAGGCGTCGGTGGCAGCGCGTAATGTTACTGTTCGGGGAGACGCCTGACTTGTGGACGAAGTCCAGGTGGTGGGTGACCCACTCCATGCCGGCAGCCCGCAGCGTGCGCATGTACTCGTGCGTGACCCTCTGGCCTCCCAAGGGAAAGGGCGGCTCGGGCGCGGTATGCTGCAAGCCCAGCGACTCGACGAAAGAGATGAAGCGCTGGCCGCTGACCGGATCCCTCACATCACCTTTGATCCGCGCGTCTCTCTTGTGGCCCGACACGAGTGCGCGCTCCCAGGCCTCCCTATCGGAGTCCGAGACGAGCTGGCAGAAGGTCCAGCAGTTGTCGATCAGCACCAAGCCGCAGAGGTAGTCCTCGTCGCCAGGAGCACCTGGCGTGATGAAGGAGGCGGGGCCCGAGATGATCTGATTCGGCACCTCGTCCCCGAAGCTGCGAGCCGAGGGATCGGCGACTTTCCAAACACCAGCGTCACCTCCGACGGCTGGGGCTGCTTGGGCGGCCTGCCCCAGTACAAGACCGAGCGAGGCCGCCTGCTGCCGAATCCGCGTCAGGTCGGCGGCCGGCACAGGGTTGTCGAAGACGTAGCTCTCGTTCCACTGGGCGGCGGGGAAGGCGCAGTTGCGCCCAAGCGCCACCACGCGGTGTGCGTTCAAAAAAAAACAAAAAAAAAAAAAAAAAGACAAAAAGAAATAAAAAAAATAAAAAAAAAACATACAAAGATATAAAAAAAAAAAGAAAAAAAAAAAAAAATAAAAAAAAACAAAAAAAAAAAGAGAAAAAAAAACAAAAGAAAAAAAAAAAACAAAAATAAAAAAAAAGCAGTTGGAATAGGAAAAAAAAAAAAATCAAATAAAAATAAAAAAAAAAAAAAATCAAAAAAAAAAAAAAAAAAAAAATTAAAAACAAATAAGAAAGGAAAAGGAGGGGAAAAAAAAAAAAAAGAAAAAAAAAAAAATTTAAAAAACAAAAAAAAAAAACAAAAAAAAATAAAAAAAAAAAAAAAAAAGTCGTTCAAGTCGAGCCTCTGAACCGAGTAGTCGGGAGTGCTGGCGATCCACACGCCCGCGGTGGGGGTCTGGACCAGAAGCAGCCTGTGATGCCACCTCAGCCCCGCCGCGTCGTCCGGGTAGTCCACCAGCACCAGCGGCTCGGGCAGGTCGAGAGTGACGCGCGCCATGGCGCCGTCACACCCGCTGGGCGCGCTGGCTCGGGGTCACGGGCCCCGTGGCGGACGGCGCGGCGGCTGGCGGCGGCGCCAGCGGCTTCGGCTCGGGCCGCACGGTGATCACCGGTGACGTCCACTGGCCCACAGCCCACGTCAGCGCGGCCCCCAGCGCGGCGGCAAGCCCCAGTGCCAGCCACCCCGGCCCGCCAGCGGGCAGGCGCTCGTCGAAGGACTCGGTGAGGCTTGTCGCTGGCCCGCTGCACGTCAGCGTGCAGGCCTGCGACGGGCACGGCGGGCAGGCCGGGCAGGCGGGCCCTCGCAGCAGCCAGAGCTCGGCGAGGCGCGCGCCGACTCCGACCAAATCCACGAGAGCGGGCATGCGCGATCGTGGCTCCTGCCGAAAAACTTGAGCACAAGTATTCAGACGGTCGTGCTCAAAAGAGGCGAGGCACAATTAACTTCAAAGAACGACACCTATACATATACATATACATATACATATACACTTACATATACATATACATATACATATACATATGCACGTACACATACACATACACATACACATACACACAACCATATACATATACATATACATATACATATACATAGACATATGCATATGCATATACATATACATATACATATACACACATATATATATATGTACATCTACCTATACATAAACACATACATATACATATACATATACACATACACATACATATACATATACATATCCATATACATACCCACATACACATACATATACTCATACATATACATGTACATAAACATATACACATACATATACATATACGTATCCATATCCCTATCCATAGCCATATCCATATACATATACACATACGTAGACATATACATAGACATATACATATACATATGCATATGCATATACATATACATACATACATATACATACACACATACATACATACATACATACATGCATGCAGACCTATCTACCTACCTACCTACCTACCTACATAAATATATACAACCATATATACAAACATACATACATACATACATACATACACATACATATGATATATATAGATAATATGTATATTATATATATATATAACCATGATATATAACCATGTAATTATGTATATATAGTAATATATATAGATAGAATGATGAAGAAAGCATACGTAAAACATTAGATTGTGTATACCAGGAAAAAGGACATCTATAGAACATACGTACGTTCTCCAAGCAACCTCGAAGGCGCAGAATACTCCTCCAAGGCGCGGAATCATGTTCCTGGACCGCCTTCCGGGAACATGATGGGGACGACCTCCTGAGGGCCTCCAGTGGGCCTCTTGGGGGCCTTTCGGAGGCCTGTTGAGCTCTCCTGGCGGCGTCTTGGGGCGCGCTCAGGGCCATTTTTGCGCATCTTGGGGGCCTCTGGGGGCCTCCGGGGGGGCTCTTGGGGGCCTCTCTGGGGCCTCTTGGGGCCTCGCGGGGCCCTCTTGGGGACCGCTGGACTCGCTTTGGCAGTCTTGAAGCCCTGTCGGGGCTCTCCTGGAACCGTCTTGGGCGGCTCCTGGGCCATCTTTGGTTTCTCCTGCGCCGTCTTGGACGATTTTGGGGGTCTCTTGGGCCGTCTTGGGGCGGTCTTGGGGGCCTCTTCGGCCGTCTTGCAGCGGTTTTGGGAGGCTCTTGGACGGCCTTGGAGCGTCGGAACCCCGAAAAAACGAGAAGGCCAAAAACCTAGAACAACAAAAACAATACAATCAACGATTCTGGCTTGTCGGGGCTCTCTTGGGAGGCCTCTTGGGATGCCTTCGGGGCCTCATGGAGCTCTCTTGGAACGTCTTCGGGCCTTCCTGGCCATTCCTGAGGCTATCTATGCGCGTCTTGGAGCGCTCGCGGGCCGTCTTGGGCGGTCTCGAACTGTTCCTGGCGGTCCCAGGGGCCCTCCGGGACGCTTCGGACGCTCCCGGGGGCGCCCCGCACCCCCCGTGGAGATTACTGGCAGCGCCCCGGGCCGCCCCCGGGCCCTACTCCGATATATATATATATATATATATATATATATATATATATATGTATGTATATATATATATACATACATACACTCACACACACATATACATATACTAGAACCACGCGCGCGCTTCGCACGCGCTTAGGTTCTAGTCACTCCCGCGACCACGCTCAACACCGCTAATGCCGCCACGGCTACCACCGCCCTTTCCGCCATCACCGCGGTCACGACCATTTCTGATTCCATGTCCACTCTGGGCACGGCCACCCCATCCACAACGATTGCACTCACCCAGGAACCGTTCCAGGGTGAAAATCCATCTGGAACCCTCTCCCAACGCAAAACGGCTCTGTCGGGGATGGGGGGAGGTGTACCCGATCTCCAAAAATGGGAATTTTCCAAATGAAATCTCTGATTGCGGAGCTTGTTTTTCGCGGCTGGGCTCTCCCGCGCAGCGTCGGGAGGTCCCAGATGGATTTTCACCCCGGAACCGTTCCAGGGTGAAAATCCATCTGGAACCCTTTCCCAACGCAAAACGGCTCTGTTGGGGATGGGGGGGGGGGCCCGAGCTCCCAAAATGCAATTTTCCAAATGGAATCTCTTACTGAGGAGTTTGTTTTTCGCGGCTGGGCTCTCCCGCGCAACGTCGGGCGGGCCCAGATGGATTTTCACTCCAGAACCGTTCCAGGGTGAAAATCAATCTGGAACCCTACCCCGACGCAAAACGGCTCTCTTGGGGGCTTCTGTAAGAAGCCCAATCGGGGCTTCTGTAAGGAGCCCAGTGAGGGCTTCTGCAAGGAGGCCAGTGAGGGCTTCTGTAAGGAGCCCAGTGAGGCCTTCTGTAAGGAGCCCAGTGAGGGCTTCTGCAAGGAGGCCAGTAAGGGCTTCTGTAAGGAGCCCAATACGTGCTTCTGTAAGGAGGTCAATAAGGGCTTCCGTAAGGAGCCCAATAAGGGCTTCTGTCAGGAGCCCAGTAAGCGCCTATGTAAGGAGCCCAGTAAGGAGCTGAGAGAAGCCTTTTGGGAGGAGCTCTAAATGGGTCTAGATGTGTTTTCACCCCGGAACCGTTCCAGGGTGAAAATCCATCTGGACCCCTCTCCCAACGCAAAACGGCTCTGTCGGGGATGGGGGGTGTACCCGATCTCCCAAAATGGCAATTTTCCAAATGAA